AGACGCTGTCTCTACAAAAAGTAGGGAAAACTAGCCAGGTGTAGTGGTATGCACTTGTAGTCCCAGCTGCTCGGAAGACTGAGGCAGGAGAATCCCTTGAGAACCTAGGAGTTTGAGGTTGATGTGAGTCAGGCTGATGCCAGGACACTCTAGCCTAGGGTGACAGAGCGAGCCTCTGTCTCAAAATAAATAAATAAATAAATTTTATCTTTTCAGAAGGTCAAGATTCAAATACAACATTCTCTCCTACTCAAATGATAAAATAAAAGCACTTTATTGGTCAAAATTCACTCACTCCATTTAAAAAAAAAGCAATCAAATTCTCCTTTTATTTGTCCTTTATCTGTTCTATATCATTAACTAGGTTGAGTATACAGATATGAAAACCATTTGGACAATGTCCTTATCCTTCCAAAGAAAGAAGGTTTTAAAGAGCAAAAAGTTTTTCTTTGATTATCCTTTTTTGGAATTTCCACAGTGTTCCAATGAATGTGTATTAATTCTTTTTTTTTTTTCTCTTTCTTTTTTGTGAAATGGAGTCTTGCTCTGTTGCCTAGGCTAGAGTGCCTAGCTCACTGCAACCTCAAACTCCTGGTCTCAAGCGATCCTCTTGCCTCAGGCTCCTGAGTAGCTGGGACTACAGGCATGCGCCACCCCGCCTAGCTAATTTTTTCTATTTTTAGTAGAGACAGGATTTCTCTCTTGCTCAGGCTGGTCTCGAACTCCTAAGCTCAAGTAATCCTCCTGCCTCGGCCTCCCAGAGTGCTAGGATTATAGGTGTGAGCCACCGCACCAGCCCAGAATGCCAATTTCTTTTAAGGCCTTTTAGAATTCCTGAAGCATGTCCAAGGTGGTGTTATTGCAAACTCTAATACCATGTACATCAGTGGGAAATTTTTTGCCAACTCTGGTAGGAATATTGAGAGGAGGACAAAAAAGTCTTTGTGGAAAACGCAGCTGCATTTTAGGCACTAGGACTTGGACTGTTGAGCTCAGTCTTGGCAGAAGTGATTCAAAATTCTACCTCTGAAGGATGACACAAAGGTTGCCTATCATGGCAGCATGGTATCTAAAATTCTACCATTAAAGAAGCCTTCCTGGCTGGGCGCGGTGGCTCACTCCTGTAATCCTAGCAGTTTGGGAGGCCGAGGCCGGCGGATTGCTCAAGATCAAGAGTTCAAAACCAGCCTGAGCAAGAGTGAGACCCCCCCCCCCGTCTCTACTAAAAATAGAAAGAAATTAATTGGTCAACTAAAAAAATATAGAAAAAACAAACAAACAAACAAACAACTAGCCGGGCATGGTGGCACTTGTCTGTAGTCCCAGCTACTCGGGAGGCTGAGGCAGGAGGATCGTTTGAGCCCAGGAGTTTGAGGTTGCTGTGAGTTAGGCTCACTCCATGGTACTCTAGCCCGGGCAACAGAGTGAGACTCTAAAAAGAAGCCTCCCTGTGGATTGTAAAGACTCTTAGGTGTCCAAGAGTCCCTGATAAAATGGCAAAATGTCATTGCCCCTATGACAAAGCCCTCACCTAGCTCACTCATGGAAGGAAGTAGATAGAGATGTTACAGTTACTCTGGGCCACAAGAGAAAGAAAGGTATAATGTGACTAAGAGACAATGCCAAAGACCCGCTTCCTGTTTGACAAAGTTTTCTAAACGTTGGCCCTAAGTACTGGCAAAGTGGTGAGACACTAAGTCCCTCCAATCCACTGTGCCAGACAGAGTTACAGCAACACTGCCAATCATCCCAAAGGCACAGTCTGTAGACACAGAGCCCTTGGGCCCTCCTGGGCCTTGGCTGCTACCAGGCTAAGAGCAGCCAGAAACATACTTGGCTACGCAATCACAAAGCTTTAATGCTGAGGTTAATGCTAAACAGAAATAGCTTCAACGACAACTTTGCTTAATACCCATGTTAAATTCACGGCCATACTATATGGGTCTACAGCATTTTACCACTTCTTAGACTACTTGGCCACACTACCATTTCACCACTTATATACCCAGAGTCACCATTTACAAATGTCCCAATCTTGAGATGGGAAGAGGGGATGGATAAATTCACACCTAACGGGTACAATGCACACTATCTGGGAAATGGGCACACTTATAACATTGACTGAAATGGTACAAAAACAATTTGTATTTTATTACAAAATGTTTGTACCCCTGTAATATTCTGAAATATAAAATTTTTAAAATTAAAAAAAATAAAAATGTCCCAATCTTGATGATATGCCAGGGGCATACAGCTTGTTGTCCACAGATGTCCTCTAACTTTGTAAATACACCATTTCCACATACATTTCTTTGTCTTTTAGTGTCTTTATCTTATGTTCTTAATGTCTCAAGGGTAGGATGTTATCTTTGCATCCTACAGAGAACCAAACAGTGTTTGTCAAGAGTTTTGGGGAATCGGTTGTTGTATGACCCTGGCAGAAGAAGTTCTGAATCTTATCATGGTTGGGTGTAATCACCCTCCTCTGTATATCTTCTCTTCAGAATAACTTCTGTATCTTCCAAGCTAAAATCTGACAACCTTAATCCTAAGGAGCAACTCCTCTGCATTATATAAAACAGGGATTGGCAATCTTTAACCTTGGTGTCCCAAGTAGAAATAAGAGAGGATTCAAATAGCTCTCACTAGGTCAGTTGATTTGGACACAGGTCAGTGATAACTGACCACATTTTTTCTAGAAATTGTTAGCAAAAATGTAGGCTATAGATGAGAATATCACCAGGTGTGGGTCATGCTGTCTTGAGGAAAGCAAGAGAAGCGATACAAAAAGGGCAGAGAAAGACAGAAAGGAGCGATGGGGAGGAGGAAGAAAGATTTCTACCCCTTCCCCTGACACAACACAATTCCTTTCTTTTTTTTTTTTCGAGACAGAGACTCACTCTGTTCCCCAGGCTAGAGTGCCATGGCTTTGCCTAGCTCACAGCAACCTCAAACTCCTGGGCTCAAGCAATCCTTCTGCCTCAGCCTTGCGAGGAGCTGGGACTACAGGCATGTGCCCACCATGCCTGGCTAATTTTTTTCATATATTTTTAGTTGGCCAATTAATTTCTTTCTATTTTTAGTAGAGACGGGGTCTCGCTGTTGCTCAGGTTGGTTTCAAACTCTTGACCTTGAGCGATCCTCCCGTCTCAGCCTCCCAGAGTGCTAGAATTACAGGCGTGAGTCACCCCACTCAGCCTCAACACAATTCTTAACCCTAACAGGTTAGGGAGTATAGGGTTGCCTGATTTAACAAACAAAAACATAGGACATCCAGTTAAATTTTAATTTCATATAAATGATGAATAACTTTTAGCATAAGTAGACCCCCATTGAATATTTGAGACAAACTTATGCTAACAAATTATTTGTTGTTTATCTGAAATGCAAATTTAACTGGCACAAACTGCACTATGGTGAGAACAACAAAATTTTGAAACAAGACAAACAGATTTGAATCCTTCACAATTACTTATTAGTCATGAGGCTCTGGGCACGTCATATGTATGGCCTCTTTGAGCCTTAGTGTCCACATCTTGAAATGAAGAAATGGCATTTCTCCATAGCATTGACATGGGCATTAGAAAGAAGCATGCTCAGCAACCAGTGAGAGCTCTGCAAGATGATGTCCTCTGGTCAATGCCCCTAAATTGTTGTTTGCTGCTTCATCCTTCTACCTCTGAGTCTAAAATATCTCTAAAATTTCAAATATTTTTACAGCCTGCTCCTCTATTTCCATTACCACTTATCTTAGTCTTTTCAGACTGCTATAACAAAATACCATAAATTGGATAAGTTGTAAACAACAGAAATTTATTTCTCTGGAGGCCGAGAAGTCCTAGATCAGGCATCTCTTTCTAATTCATAATTACTTATATTAATATACTGCCTATGGCCGCTTTTGTGCTATAGTGGCAAAATTGAATAATTGAGATAGAGACTATATGGGCAATAAAGCCTAAAAAATGTGCTATCTAGTCCTTTACAGAAAATGTTTGCTGAGTCCTGGTGTAGAATAAATGAGAAAGAGCAGAAGACAGTTTGTTGAGATACAGTGCTGGTGGGCAAAGTGTGGCCCCAGGGAGTTGAAAAAGGACTGTGAAGGAAACTCTAAGAGATACCATGAAGAAGATGAGCTTACTGATAGAGATTGTCTGTAGTGGTTGGGTGGAGAAAGGATAAACAAAAGAAATTACAGCAAGGCTAAAGAGAAACTCTTCCGAAGGTAAAGATAAGTTGAGTTTTAGAGTTTGCAGTGAATTTGGAGTGACTAAAAGATATCCCGATGAAAATATTCTGCTGTCAGTTAAAGATGTGAAGCTCTCAGGAGAAGAGAGGTCAAAATTTTAGATATTGACTTACAGACACTTTCAGGCCATGGTTAGGAGCTTAGAGCAAGTGATAAGATAAAGAAGCAGGTATGTGAGCCGGGAGACAACTTACCAGGAGAGAGATGGTGATGGCTTGGACCCAGTGATGGTTCTCCAGGGTCTCCACTGTTCTGTGTCTACAGTTACCAAGTAGAATCACTGTATTCTGCAGTCCCCAAAGTCCAGGCCATGGACAGGTGCCAGTACATGGCCTGATAGGAATGCGGCCTCACAGCAGGAGGTGAGTGGCCATCGAGCCAGCAAAGCTTCATCCATATTTACAACACTCCCCATCACTTCCATCAGTGCCTAAGCTCCGCCACCTGTCAGATCAGCAGTGGCATTAGATTCTCATGACATCACGACCCCTACTGTAAACTGTGCATGCAAGGGATCTGGGTTGCTCCCTCCTTATGGGAATCTATTGCCTGATGGTCTGAGGTGGAGCTGAGGCGGTGATGCTAGTGCTGGGGAGCAGCCGCAAATATCAATTATCATTAGCAGAGAGATCTGACTGCACAACAAATGTAATGTGCTTGAATCATCCTGAAACCATCCTTCCCCCCGACTGGGTCTATGGAAAAATTGTCTTCCATGAAACCAGTCCCTGGTGCCAAAAATGTTGGGGACCTCTGCTCTAAGTGCTTTGGGGCACCCCACATATGTAGGAGCTAGAGTTTCACTGGCTCCCCAGCAGTTCTTGCCTGGTCAACTGATTCCTATGTCTGCAGCCAAACACTAGAAAAACCGTGGGGCAGGTAGACTCCTCGCATCCTCTTGGCTTTCTGATTAATCATTTAAATGGGAAACCTAAGCCTATTCAGGTAAAAAGATACATGAACTTCAGGTCAGGATCACCATCCTGTCTCAAATATGACTTTTTTCACCCCTTTCATTCGGGGTATAGGGGCATTTTAAAAACAAATTATTTCATTCAATCCTGGTTTCCTAGCAACCAGGAAAAGTATCCATTTTCCTCATGTCGTGAGCACCAGACCTAGCCGAGCAGAGTCTATGCTCAAGCCTCCAGAAGCAGAGGAAGAACAAAAGCACTGCAATCGGTCTCCGGTTGGTGAGAGATTCTCAAAGGGGAATTTGTAAAGAGCCAGCACCTAATAGAGCAGCCTGAGAGACCTGTATCTCAGCTGTAAGTGTACAACGGGGAACCTGTGTGAGGTGTGCAGGTATTCCGCAGTGCATGATATTCCTATAGAATATGGGGGCTGGGACTTCCAGGCAGTTGGTTTCTAGGAAACAGCCAAAGCCTGAGACTGCTGACATCTTTGCAGTACCTCCTTTGTGTGTGTTTCCAGCCAGCCTCTTGTTTCTTTAAAGCTCTATAGACAGAAAAAAGGAGTAACTGGCAGAATTCAAATCTAACTGAATAGAGTCCATGCAAATGGCCTTCTTTCAACCAGGCTAGCTACTAAATGCTTATAAATCACTGAATTCTACAGCTGGAAAGAATCTCTCTAATCTGTCAATGCTTGTTTTACAGAGGAAAGAAACACAAAAACATGGAGATGCAAATTCACCTGTGCAAGGTGACACAGCTAGTTGGTGGCCTCACAGGGTCTCCTGACCTCTAGTCTAGTGGTTTGGGAATGGGAGATGCTTATATTTTTATGATTTAAACCTTTGCATATCACACCACATTGAATGGGAGGGTCTAAGACGAAGCTGTCACAGCAAGCAGGAGATGCAAATTTTATAATTTGTAAGTCTGAATTTCTAAGGGTTTGCTCAGAATTACAAGACAAGCATGGGTTAAAGTAAATGCTACGTGAGCGTACTGCCTGTCAAGAAATTGAGGTAAAACAAATATTCTATCGACAAATGTTTTTCCAAATTACTGAATCAGAAGAATTTTAATATATGCCGGACTTTATAGGTACAGCACGTTAGAGTAAAAAGTGCTCTTGGTGATATTAACCAGGTCTATCATTTTTTAGATAACACCAGAGAAGAGCCAAGAGACTTGGCTATGGCCACATCAATCAGTGGCAAAGTGAACACCACACCCAGGCATCGAGCCTCCCTGGGGACAGTGCTTTTCCTTTTCTAGGCAATGGGGCCACCTCTCTGGCTTGCTGCATCCTCTCCCAGTCGGCTCTCCTGTAGGGAGCAGTATTCCTGTCTTCATAGCTAATCCATTTCCTATGGAATGCTCTGACTTTCTTCCCCTCTTTCTCCTTATCCCATCCACTCCTAAAAGTCTGAAGCAGTTGTAGCAGCAGCAAGAATGATCCAAAATCATTATGTTGGCCTGATGAAGAATTCTGTTAGCTCAGTGGCATCCTTTTTCTCCTTGCTTATTGTCAGCTGAATCAAATGAAGCTTAGTGTTTATAGTCTATGATTTTAAAAAAGTTTCTAAAGTTTGTTTTCCAACCATCTTTAGAGTAGTGATTTAAAAACACATGCACAATATAAAACGTACAAAAGGTGGTATAATGCACTTCCATGGGCTCATCATTCCAGAGTCAACAACTGTTAACATTTTTGTTATATTTGTGTATTAGTCAGGGTTCTCCGGAGAAAGAGAACCAACAAGATGTGTGTGTTATATATACATACATGCACACACGTAGATACATATATCAGGTGCAGTGTAAACTGCAGATGCCTGCTCAGCTTAGCTGACATATACACATATATATGGAGAAAGAGAGAGAGAGATGGATTTTAAAGAATTGGTTCCCATGATTGTAGAGGCTTGGACAGTCCATAATCTGATGGGGATAAGCTGGCAGGCTGGAGCCTCAGGGGAAGGTTGCAGTCTGGATCCAAAGGCTGTCTGCTGGCAGAATTCCTTCTTGTTCTTGAGGGGAAAGGTCAGTCTCTGTTCTACCAAGGCCTTCAACTAATTGGATGGGGCCCACTCAGATGAAGGGGAATCTGCTTTACTCAAAGTCCACCCATTTAACATATTCACTGCCACACTAGAAAAAAAAATTATTTTCCTTGGGACCATGGTGTTTTGTTGCAAAAATAGAATAAAAACTTTGAAAACAAAATGGTCCTTTCTAATTTAATGAAAAATTTGTTGTTTTTTTATTGTTTTCTGTGCATGAGTTATTTGTAACTTGAAAAATAGTTCACGTGGCTCCCAAGGTAGAAATGTGTGAGTTACATATGCTTCACGAGGAGCCAGGCTCCAAGCTAGAGTGAGTTAAATACAACTCACATGGCAGTTAATGTATTAAATATTAATCTCTTCCAAAAAACACCTTCAAAGGAACATCCAGAATAATGTTCAACTCTGTATCTAGGCATAGTGGCCCAGCCAAGTTGACACAGGAAATTAACCATCACAATTCTCTTTGAATCCTTTTACAGACATAAAACATTGCAGATAGAGTTGATATCCCATTTATACTTCTCCCTGAGTACCCCATTCAGGAGTGATGATTTTTTATACACTCCTTTTTGTGACCTCAGACCCCTTTTGACCCCATCACCTGAGCTCCAATTTCTGGTTTAATGGCTGGGGATTGAGGGTGGGAATTGAAGACCTGTTTGCTATGACCACATGTTCTTTCAAGGACCTCCTGGCCATCAGGGATTACAGATGGCTTCTATAGAAAACTACAGTATGAGCACCAGGGAGAGGTCACTGGGAGTCACTGTGTGGAATGCACACAGAAAATCTCAGGTATATTCCAGATCACACATCATCTATTCGGATAGTTCTGCCCTAACAGTCTCACCAACTATTACATGAGCCATTTCGGTTTTACTTGCTAGATTATAGCAAGGATAAGTGTTGGGAAAACTTGGCAGGAATAAAAGTTGTCAGATAAATGCAAAGTAGTGCACTAGTTTCCAGATGGCTTTCTGCCCCACGCCTGCTGAGGAAGAGGCCTGAGCAGTGTACTCCCTCAGATCCCTTCCGGAGCCTGGGACTCCATGACTGGTATTTGGAGTGACAGCATCCCTAACTCAAATTCTCTCTGATTTGCCACTGTATCCTCCAGGCTTAGAGAGGCTGGATCTTCCCAAAGGATATCAAGTGTAGTGCAAGCTGCAGATACCCAGGCAGCTGTTATCCACCTTTCGTCATGGAAAGAAGGCTCGTAAAGAAAGAAATGAAAAAGCTCCTGTAAGTACGATTGAGAATAACTGTCATTTATGCCACGTGGCATTTGGTGGGTTTCATGTCATAGACGGTCTGGATATTAGCAGGGGGGTAAAAATCTAAAGAAGAATCTATCCCTGTACTATAGAGAAAGCCAGAAGCTGGTCTGTCCTCTTTCTATCTCCTGCCAGGGAGGCTTCACCTGTGGTGCAAGGGAGGGTGTTTGTGCCGGCAGCCTGAGCATCCGAGCACCCCGTTCTAGAGCCTGAGAGCTGAGCCTATGTCCTAGTCAGCCTGTGCGGGCAGGAGGTGCCATTGAGGGAAGGGATCTCCCTGCTGGTAAAAGATACAGGAGGAGAGATTCCTAAAAGCATACCCAAGGGCCCAGTGTTTAAATTGCAGCCTCTGCTTCCTTTATTATCAGACGTATTGACTAAATAATTCATCTCCTTTTTCTTGCCATCTGAACTTTTTTAAAAACTAACACGGAAAGCATTAAGTTTTCCATGGACATTTTTTGCCTCCTGTGGTAGTTTTTCTTAGACTTGGTACTTAAATGTTGGTAAAAGATCACAAACCATATAAAAAAATGAAAAAAGAAAGGTTATGTCCTATCTCATACATATTATAGACACAACAATAAAATCCTTTTCATCGAAGAACTTGTCACTGTCCCCATCAGATGTCTTTTTTCTGCCTACTAAGAAAATTATATTTTAATATGTTCTTAGAAATGGTGGAGTAGACTACATATGAATTCACACATGTGTTCATGTATGTGTCCGGAGGCCAATACCATAATAAGGAACAAACTGCGATCAGAAATGACAACTTCTCTGCATAATTCATCCAAAGGATTAGAGTTTCAAACTAATATAAATACAAATTTATATTCAAAGGGTACATTTAGGCTACTTTAAAATATCTTGAAATTTCACAGCAAAAATTCAAATATTTTTATCAATTTAGAAAAGCTTAAAGGCTCAGAAGAAAAGCTTTCAGAAGCCAGAAACAAACTTATGTTCCACACAGTAACTAGCCCAAAGTGTTCTAGTGTGCTAAATAAACAAACAGAACTGGTCTAATGTAAAATCGTGAGATGTGCCAAAATCAACCCCAGAGATCTGAGAGTCCTTTTCCTAAGTCCATTCCCTCTCTCCGACTTCTCCAGGGTGGCACTTCCTCTATCTCTTCTTATTGAAAGTCACTGTTAAGAAAGGATTTGATAAGGACACACTAAAGTGAAATTACTAATAAGTTTTTATGCATATCTCCTCCTAGGAGCATTTGCATTCTAAAGAGAAAAAGCCTTCAGACAAAAGAATACACCTCTATAGAATTTTATGTATCTGGAATTTATCAACTTCGGACATTCTGTCTGAATTTAACATGGGCAGCAAGGGACTTGCTATTTTGAACAGTGGGTCTCAATCCCTCTGGTCTTGTAAAACCATTTCTGTGTGTGGATATTTGGCATACTCCTTGCTTTCTTGTAATTTCTGTTTCCAGCTATGCAAGTTTAATTTCTAGATAAATGTGATGTAAGTTAATTATGGTTAGACATTTTAAACCTGCAACATCGTGGAGTTATGGGGTAAACTAAAATTGAGTAACTCAGCTACCAAAGCATCAAAGACTTCTCTTGTGTTTTGGTAGAGGAGGGAGGGGTTGGGAGGAAAGCCTCTTTCTGCAGACTGAGCCCCGTGTTATCCCAATGGTTCAATGCTGCTCTCTTGCTTTTAAGGGGAGATTATATTGGCATCAGACTTCGGGAAAATGAATTTGACCCCAAAGGAAGACGGCAACTCACCTTTCTAGATGATATGGTAAAGAAAGGCATGCTGATGCAAGTCATGTTCGTGTTATATGTGTATTAAGAGGACAGAACGAGGATTAATTTATTAATATAAAACGAATAAGGCTACTACTGACACCCACTCCCCAAAAGTCCTCTCTCTCATCTCTTCCTCATCCTAAGATTGTCCATATGGTCATTTCAACCTGCTAAACAGAAAGCAAAAAGAGAATGAGAAAATAAAAATTATGAGAGTATTTACTATTAGGAGAGAAGACTAAAAAGCAAAATAAACGCAAGGCCGGCCGGGTGTGGTGGCTCATGCCTGTAATCCTAGCACTCTGGGAGGCTGAGGTGGGACGATCATTTGAGCTCAGAAGTTCAAGACCAGCTTGAGCAAGAGCCAGACCCCGTCTCTACCAAAAATAGAAAGAAATTAATCACACAATTAAAAATATGTAGAAAAAATTAGCCTGGCACATACCTGTAGTCCCAGCTACTCAGGAGGCTGAGGCAGAAGGATCGCTTGAGTCCAGGAGCTTGAGGTTGCTGTGAGCTAGGCTGATGCCACGGCACTCTAGCCCGGGCGACAGAGCAAGACTCTGTCTCAAAAATAAATAAATAAATAAATAAAATAAATGCAAGGCCAAATGATACGTACATAGTGTTAACTTTTTTTGGCAAAATTAACTATCATTTAGTTCTCAAAATAATTTATTTTCCATTTACATTAGTGGGGGAAAAGAAAACAAAGAAATAAGTAATCCTAAAACCCTCTGTTTGTGTTATGCATGTTGAAACCCAGATTCATGTTAGGTTCTGAAAGTTTACTTCACAGAAATTAAGGAAGAAACCACACAAAGATCTAATTCGAGAGAAATTAGTAAACCCTTGGTTTTTTTACACTGCCCATTTACTGTCTTGTACTAATAAAAGAGAAAAGATCTCCCTCTCCCCTATTCTCTCCCTCCCGGATTAAAGCAAAGCAAGGCTCACTGACTCCCCAAACTCCTCCAGAGCTGAGTAAGTAGTTAAGCCTTATTCTCTCTGAACACATATTAAATGGAGAAATTAGATAGTTTAGAGCAGTGCTTCTCAAACTTTAATGAGCTCTTATTACAAGCTGTTTGATTCAGGAGGTCCAGGGTGAGGCTTGGGATTTGCATATCTATTGAGGTGGTGCCAATGCTGCTGGCCCCGGCATTGAACTTTGGATTGGGTTTCAACAACTGATCATGGTCCAATTTTTCCCATTTATTTATTTAAGTTTACTTTTCAATTTGCTTCAGTCCCTGGAAGAAATAACTCCATTGTTTAAAGAATGTTAAAATCTTAGGACACCTAAAATAAATAAAAACAAAACCAACCTTCCCTTTTCTGGGAGTGGGGATAGAGAAGAGAAGGAATGTTTTGATAGACAGATGGTAAATATGCTTACTAAACAAGAACTCTTAGGAATTATGAGGGAAAAGTGGTCACAATGATTAGAAGGAACATTGGAATTGGGCCTCAGCTTTCTACTGTATGTGAGATTCTCAGCAAGCGTATTAATCAGGTCTACATCCTGTCCTTTGTTCTTGCTGGTCCCTGCACCTGGGATGTTCCTCTCTATCTAGAGAAACTCCTTCATCCTTCAAGCCTTGGCTCCAGTGAAGCTTCCTCTCTGAAGCCTCCCGGGGTTGTCCCTACCTCCCCAGGCCCCTCCCTGCAAGTTCCCACCATGCTTCCCCTGGAAGTGCATGTCTGACATTCTACTCACAGAATCATAAATTGTTCTCTGTGGCCCTCTTCCCCTACCCTCACCTTTTTCTGTTTTAAAATTTAAGAAAAGCAAGGTCCAGCGAGCATCAATCACTTACCTAAGGCTAGACCGTGAGCTGTTGGCAATACCTATATTTGAGCCCAGATTCCCGGATTCCTGGTTTAGTATTCTTTCCGCTGGTTTCTCTTTTCCAGATCACATTAATCAAATAACTGCTTGAGTGGGGGATAAATTGAAAGCCTGAAGATCCCTAAATATTTCTGTCTGAGCATCAGGTTATCAGATATAGGTAGTGACCCTTCCCATTTTAGACATGACAAAATAGTGGGATAGGCTAAGTAGTGCCATTGTCATTGGGTCCAGGGAATATTTTAGCCAGTGTCTAAACCTGTTCTTCTGCTCTGTGCTTTCTGCTTGCAGGCTCACTATGACTTGGCCATCAGCGTTGCTTTGCAATGGCTGGATCACTCAGAAGACTTAACGTGGCTGGAGTGGGAGGAAGCGTAAGCTGAAATAGGTTTTTTTGTTTTTCTCTTTAATGTGTGATTATGATTAATGATAGAGGAAGTTCCAGCCCTGTCTAGTGTCCTCCCTCTTGAGGCATTCTGATCTGAAAGCACTACAGGGTGAACAGCCCTCTTCGACTAGACACCTGAAGAAACCCTACAGTTGCCACCTTGAGGAAGTCATACATGTGTTTATATATATATTGCATCTCTGCTAGTTGGCTTCTATGAAATGAAAGACTTTCTTACACAGTGCCATGATTTTTAAAATAGTCAATTCTGTGGCTAAAGGTTGCAATCTTTTCCTAAGGACTAGCAAACACAATTTCTTAAGCATTTAAGCAAATATATACCAGAACTGAGCTATTCGAGTCACAGAATAATTTTCTTTCCAGGATTATGGGCATTTTCTCCCATGTATAGTGTCCAGGCAGACTCGCTCAATTGGTGAGAACATGGAACTGAGGAGGCCAGGTTCAAATATCTTATTCCAGAGGCCAGTTATTTTTTTCTGTTCAGGGCCCTTAGATTACAGTCCAGATCCTGGACAGATATAGCAGTTAGGGTTTAGTTGTAATAAACAAAAAATCCAATTTGAACAGCCTAAAGAAAAAAAGGGGGGCAAGGAATTTTTTGCATCTATATCTGAAAACTTGGTGGGTAGGTCTGTGTTAGGCAGGCATGGTTTAATTCAAAACTCAAACAATGTCACCAGAATCTCTCTCTCTCTGTTTTATTATTATTTTTTTAAGACAGTGTCTTACTCTGTTGCCACAGCTAGAGTGCAGTGCCATGAGTAGAGCTCACTGCAACCTCAAACTCTTGGTGCTCAAGTGATCCTCCCGCCTCAACCTCCCGAGTAGCTGGGACTACAGGGGCGCACCACCACGCCCAACTAATTTTTCTGTTTTTGTAGAGACAGGGTCTCGCTCTTGTTCAGGTTGGTCTTTAACTCCTGACCTCAAGAGATCCTCCAGCCTCCAGCCTCAGCTAGGATTACAGGTGTGAGCCACTGGCCCAGAATCTACCTCTTGACTCTATTTTCTTTGGGTAGACACCCAATCTTCATTTCAGCCACCTCATTATAATATTTAGTCTAAGGGAGAATGGACGTTTTATTTTTTTTATTTTTTTATTTTTATTTTTATTTTTTTTTATGGAACGCTTCACGAATTTGCGTGTCATCCTTGCGCAGGGGCCATGCTAATCTTCTCTGTATCGTTCCAATTTTAGTATATGTGCTGCCGAAGCGAGCACGAGAATGGACGTTTTAAAAAATTACAGAATCATGTCTCATTGGCTCTATTTGTCCTGACTCACCTGGGGTTGGACGGGGAGGAATAGAATACACTGACTAGCTTGGTCCACAGTGTGTTTTTCATCCTTGGAATATAGAGGAGTTGTTGGCTTCCTGGGAAACACGTAGGCTTACAGTGGGGTTAGGCAGTTCTCCCCAAGCAAATTGCCACAAGAAGGGCAAAGAAGAGTGGTTGGCAAAGCCGTAAACATCCATCATGTGGCCAGTCTGCCAATGTTTGATGTAGCTGTGAAACATGGATAGATGAGGGCAAATTCATCACCATTATTGGAAGATTAAAAATTCAAAGTGTGTTTTGCTGATGGAGGGACAATCACATCAATTTTATAAGCAAGCAGATAGCATACAGCCATGGCACACAACTCATGGATTATCATCACAACCTTAGGTGTCAAGAAGAACAAGAATAAATCCTCCCCTCTTAGTGATTCATATTTCCCCTTAGGAAAATGCCGCTCCATGGCAGACCCACGTATCCAAACCGCAGAGAACGAGAAGCTATGATTTTATCGTCTTACGCTGGAATCTTAATGGTAAGGAAAAGAATACCGTTTGCATATATGGATATTTCTTATCTACTATATGTATTTTGGGGGTTTTTGTTTTTTTGTTTTGTTTTAGAGACAGGGTCTCACTCTGTCACCCAGGCTGGAGTGCAGTGGTGCAATCAGAGCTCACTGTAGCCTTGAACTCCCGGGCTCAAGCGATCCTCCTGCCTCAGCCTCCTGACTAGCTAAGACTGCAGGCATGTGCCACCACACCTGACCTGTATTCTGATATTAAGCATATTTATGTTATTTTTAAACCAATGTTTCTACGTGTTTAGGAGTTTCGAATAGTAAATGTTTCATATTTTGAAATAATAAAAAGACTTTGATTTCTATACTGTAGTGTGAAAACACTTATTTAAGAGGCAAAAAAAATTAAGGGAATGAGAGACATAACTAATTGATATTTGGAAAACTGATTTATCCATTTATTCAGAAGTTAATTACTGTATTTAGTGCCCACACTAGCCAAACACAGTTGTAAACATATTGGAGCTATAATAACTTTGTTATGTAATAAAAGAAAAGTCAGGATATGATAACACTTTGTTATTGTTGTTTAACAGAACAGTATCCCAATTGAGGAAGTCTTTAAAATTTATGGGGCTGATTCTTCTGCAAATTCTGGTAATACCAAGGTAAGGGTGATTTGGCATTGTCTATATAAGGGATTTTTAGAGAGAATATATTTAGTGTATAAATTATAATGTTGTGGGATGCTCCAGTGGCACAATCGTTGAGCACGAGGTATTTTCAGGCATCATTTATGAAAATAACAGTTTTACATCAAAATGTACAGAACTACTGTGGAGCCCTAGATAGGTCCCTTTCCCTGCTTGGGCCTCCATATTACCGATCTTAAAAAAAAAATAGTGTTCTGAATAATCTTTAAGGCCGGCTCAATTTTTGCCATTTACAAATGTATGAACATTAAGAAACCATTTAAATATGGGTGGCTATTTAGAGGTGAACTTCTGATTCCTTTACCTTCAGATACCTCTGGTCTAAACCAGACTCCTGACCTCAAGCAATCGGCCCGCCTTGGCCTCCCAGAGTGCTAGGATTACGCCAGGCTGCTTCAGATACCTCCGGAAGAGGGAAGAGGAAAGGGAAGATAGGGTGGGGGAAGGACGTGTAGCAGGCCAAGGGAGAGCAAAACACCCTCATGCCCAGGCCTGCGGGCTTTCATGGCCCGCCGCCACCTGCCCACAGGAACGCCTTCCTTGCTCTTTTGCTGCAGACCAACGAGCTGCAGCACGTTGCACCAAGCAAAGTGCTCATGCAAAGTTCCAGAGTCCACCAGATCCACCATAGAAGTCAAGTATTTACTGAGTGTTGTAACTTTGAAACCAGCCTTCTGTCACCTTAATCCACATGTAACCAGACTACAGTCCTGAGACACCAATTCTCTCCATCACTGTGGGAATCAAAACCTTCTTCCTGATCACCCTAGTTTCAACTCACTCCTTCCATTCATTCATTTGTTCATTCAGTATAGTGGTATGTGCAGGGGATTGCAAAAGATGGCAAGCAAGCCAGACAAGATTACTTTTCCTACAGACCTTGTTTCCTATATTGGGGCTTACCTGGGTTGAGATATAAACCACTCAAGGCCTGATGGTCTTCGGAGACCAGGTTGTTCTTGGCTTTTAAAGAAGGCCCAGCTCTCTGTGTTCTTTGGAGAGCCAAGCAGACTATACTGCTTCATTCCTGCCTGTCTTTTTCTGCAGCTTTCTCCCTTGCAGGTCACCCTATTCTCCTCTTCCCCCATCTCCTATCACATACACATAAAAACTTGAGCTCCAAATACCCCTGTTTCATTCACTGTTTTTTCCCTCTCGCTTCTGGGCCCTGGGGGAGGTCTAGGGCAGGCACGGCTGACTGGTTGGTCTCCACTTACATGGCCAGAGAACAAACATGGAAAATCCCATCCTGGTGAGGGTAGCACTGTGAACAACTCCTCTAGTCTTGGCTGTATCATTTGCAAACATGGGTGTCTGAGTAGCTCGGATGAGTCAGGTTCATTTAAAGGGCTAGAATGGGAACAAATGCTGTTTAGCTGTGGGCCAGCCAATCTCTACCCATCCATCAGATCACTAGTTTATTCATTAAAGAGACTTTGTTCAGCACCTGTTTGGTGATACATTGTCCTCATCTTCACAATCAGTGACCAATGATGAGAAGCCCAGGTGTGTGCACAGGCTACATAATGGCCAGCTCTGAAGAGAAACAAAGAATATCATCACATAGGCAGACTTTTCTTTAAAGGCTTGCATTTGTTGATTGCTATGGGATGTGAGTGTCGGCTCATTTGCTGGTTTATATGTGAAAGGCACATTGTTTGTGTAACCTTAAGCACTAGGATTCTAAAGCTTGGCTGCTTGGGTCTGAATCCCAGCTCCATCAGTCACAAGCATAATAATCCTGGGCAAATTTTCTAAACAGTGTATGCCTCACTTTTATGTAAAATCAGGGACAAGAAGATGGGGTTATTGTGGGAATGAAGTGAATTAGTGCCAATAAAGCCCTACCCTCAAAATAATAGCATTAAGGTGCTGGTACTCAGGGGTTGGGTGCCTGATTTCTTCTATGTTCCTCTAAATCAGGATTTCTCAACATTTTGGGCCAGATGATTCTTTGTTGTGTGTGTGGGGGTTGGGGGTTGGGGGCTGTCTTATGTGTTGTACGATATTTAACAGCATCCCTGGCCTCTGCTCAGTAGATACAAGTAGTTTCTCTTCAGTTGTGACACTTAAAAATGTCTCCAGACTTTGCCAAATGTCCCCCAGGAGGCAAAATCACATTGGATTGAGAACCACTCCTCCAAATATTCAAAAATGGAACAGCCAATCAACAGCATCCACATGTGTTACTAATATAATGTAAGCTTTGCCTATTTTGAACAGTAAATAATCACAAGGGGTATGATTTCAGCTACCAATACAAGGATCTGAGGATCAGACTGTGAGCCTTGTGAGCTTCACCAGCTCCTCCCCACCTCAAGAATGGGCGCAGAACTTGGCCTTGACCTTGGACTGCACATCAGCTCCACTCAGGGACCTCTTCCACATCTTGAATACAGAATTAGCAAGACCTCTCAATGGAGATGTAACATTTCAAAGACTGAGCAGTAAAAATATTTTAAAGCGGTCCTTTAGAATTTAATGTAATTTCAATAAATGGTTTTAACTAGGAGATGGAATTGTTAAAAATACTAGACATTGCCAAATAATCTTCATTAATTGATGCATTTATCTGAATGACCGATGATTCCTTCTGATAAAATGTCCCCTGAGCAACAGCTAACCTTTTGCTTCCCAAGCAAAAGCTTAAAAACCCATTGAATACTAATCAGATTATGTAGAATTTCTGGCAACTGGAATTGGTCACTTGATACAATGTGGGTACTATACTTAGGCTTGGTGGCTTTCTTCGGAACTATTTGCTGCCACCTGGTGACAGAAAAGCATTATAGGCACAGTATTTTTCAGAAACTATTAGCCTCAGGTTCCGCCTCCTGTGAACGTCCTGGGTTTTGCTGACAGGAAGCTTTTTTTCTGCTGAGGACTCTGGACCCATAGAAAAAGTTCATTAAGGGCCTTCACAAGTGAGGGTTGTTTACAAATAGCTTCAGGTTAATATCAAATGTCCTACTCAATTTTAAACAGAAGAAAACAGAACATAAATCTTCCTTCAATAAATCAAGTGAGTGATAAAAATGTTCTTCAGCTTCATTTGATGGAGAAAGAGTGAAACAGAAAGGAAGGCAGAGAGAGTAAAAATGAGTGCATCAGAGAGAGGGAAGAAACGAGCGCAGGAGGACAGAGAGAACCCAAACTTCTGCTGTCCCTCTTTCTTCCTACAGCTGTATCCCAGCGTCTGACGGGTAATCATGTGAGTCCATCCCAACTGGCATCCAAAGTCCAGAGTGTGACTCTGTCAGAGGCAAACAGACCGGTGTCCCCTCCCATCTTTGTCACTTGCGAGCTGTGTGTCCTCAAATAAGTTATTTAACTTCTCTGATTCCCAGTTTTCTTATAAGTAAATAGTCATGCGTAGATAAGGCATGATTATACTGGCCCACACACACTCGGTTGCCCTGAGGACTCAATGAGACCATGCGTAGGGGACACGATGGTGGCACAAGGGACACCTTCCATGTTAGTGCTACTATTTCCAAGTCCACCATGCTCCGATGGCCAGCCCCCTTCCTCCTGAGAGCAGCCGGGTTTCTCTGTGATGGGCCTGGCTTACACCCTCTCACACTTTCTCCAATAACCTGCCAAGTGTCTTCTCTTCTTGGAGGATGCTGACCCAGACTGAATTGTGCAGAAATTTTAAAATGTTTTCATGATAAGGGGAGGGGCCTATGTTTTAAGCATTATTGACAGATCTGAATAATGAGGGATTAAAAACACACTTTCACTATTAATTATATCCAAATGAATACATACAATGTATATTTAAAGTACAAAAACTGGCTGGGCGCGGTGGCTCACGCCTGTAATCCTAGCACTCTGGGAGGCCAAGGCAGGTGGATGGCTCAAGGTCAGGAGTTCGAGACCAGCCTGAGCAAGAGCGAGACCCCCGTCTCTACTAAAAATAGAACGAAATTATCTGGACAACTAAAATTTAAAAAAAGTATATATATATATACATATATATATATTAGCCGGGCATGGTGGCGCATGCCTGTAGTCCCAGCTACTCGGGAGGCTGAGGCAGAAGGATCGCTTGAGCCCAGGAGTTTGAGGTTGCTGTGAGCTAGGCTAACGCCATTGCACTCTAGCCTGAGCAACAGAGCCAGAGTCTGTCTCAAAAAAATAAAAATAAATAAAAATAAAGTACCAAAACCAAACAAGCCAATCCAAACGTATGAAACGGAACAGTATCAAGAGTTTTGAAGCTCTTTGTGGGAGAGCTTCTCTCCCACAAAATCTCCCACAAAAATCAAGAGTTTTGAAGCTCTCTGAGGGAGGAGACCCTCCCCTGTCTCCTACCCTTCCTTTTGCCCTGGGTTACCACTATCTTGAATAATGTGTTTATTAGTCTCTTTTGCTTCTTTATAGTTTTACTGCATATGCATCTCTAATCAATATATTATTTAAGTTTGCACTTTTATGTAAGTAGAATATTAGCAAATGTGTCATTCTGTGGCTTTCTTTTTTCACTCAACATTATATTTGAGAAACTTATCCATGTTGTTGCACTTAGCTATAGTTTATTTTCACTGTATATAGTATTCCACTCTAGGAATATACAGTACCAAAAGGTATTTATATATTCTTCTGTTTTAGACATTTGGGTTATTTCATTTATATGTCTCTTGTTCCATAGCAAGAGTTTCTGTACAGTGTATGCCTAGGAGAGAAATTGCTAAGCCACAGGTTATGAACATTTTCAGCACTCTAAAGCCAAATTGTTTTCCATAATGGTTGTACCAATTACCTAACCAGCAGTGTAGGTTGTCTACATGGGTATTTTTGTGATTTTTAAGTTTTGTCAGTCTGTTAAGTGTATCAGGGCATTTAATTTAATTTGTGGTTTTAATTTGCATTCCCCTTATTGCCAGTGAATTATTCATATGTTTCTTCTTCTGTAAAGTGCCTGTTAAAGTCTTTCAGATTTTTCTATTGGGTTGTTTTTTTCTTGTTTCTTAACATAGAGTCTCAACTTTTAGAAAAATTGCTATGGGATAGAATCAGTCAAGTCCTAGCTTTTCCAGTACTTTTCTCATCTGAAATTTGCCCTTTTTCTTCACAAATGTTTAAATGTTTAGAAAATGTAATTTTCTAACATCTCAACCACATTTGCATAATTTCTTAGATAGAAACTGTCTTTTTAGACCACATGCTGAGCTTTTACTCTGGACAACCCGATCACTGTAAGCATACATTTGATTGCTTTGACACCTAGGGAAAATTCTTCACCTTCTAGCTCAGTGATATCATAATGGTGTTTCTGTAAGTGACTGCCAGGTTGAAAGGCAAGTGAAGATTACTGGCTATGCCCTTCATTCCTTAATGATGTATTCCCTTTTAGGGCTTTGCTTGGACAAGGTCCTACATGCTTTTATACATCCCAACCTCTCCTCCTCCTCAGCCTTTTAGAAGAAATTTTTGTTGAATGTGATTTGGATATACTTTGGCATTCAGTAAGTACTTGAATTGAGAAATAATCATAATAATACTTTTACATTGAGACAATGAAGATATTAGTAAGTAGCTTTGAAGTTTAAAAGAGAATATAATTAACTCTGGGTTTAGGACTTAAATTTCATCCTGCTTTTAAAATAATCTTTCATATTTATATGAAAGATTAGCTATTTATAGCTAATTTAGGAAGCTAAATTAACTGCTTGCATGAGTCAGCAGATTATCAGGACTCAGGAAAGTTCATAGGATAGTCAAGATGGAAGTGACCTTTAAATCTTTGACTTCTGCCTTCTCCAGCGAATAGGGAAATTCACGCATGAAAAATATCAGTCTAACATCTACTAAATGCAGAACCGTGTCAAGAACAATGTATGAGCCAGTTCCCTTTTCCTTATATATGGCATATATTATCCTGAAGGGCTGTTATCATAGCCGTAATTGCCCCATATTAAAATATAGCCTCATCTTTAATTACTTTCTGTGTTTTAGGATTATCTTTCTGAATAGATTATATGCTTTTTGAGTTTAGAGGCCACAGTTTATACTTGTGTTTAAGTCTTTACAACACTAGACATGAAGTAAACTCTCAGTAAATGTTCTTTCCATTTGAATAAAAGGTTGAGCTAAAATTTAGTTGTGTTCCTGGAAAGATGACTTTAAACTGTTCTAACAATAAAAAGAACACAATCTCATTTATTGTTTAATCCATGTTTCCTGTGTGATATAACAGAAAATCCATGGTAATAGTGAAAAGGAGAAGTTTACTTCCCATATGAAGGAAGTCTGGAGGACCCATAACGATACCACAGTTTCACAAAATTACCAAAAACACAAGTTCTTTCCAGGTTTGTGGTCAGTCACTCCTATGGGGCAGCTGTCACCTTCTTGTCTAAGATGATTGCTGGAGCTCTAGCCATCACAACTATGGTTCAGACAAGTGGAGACAAAGAAGGATTACCCCTCCCTTCTAAGGACATGTGTCAGTAATCTCATAGAACACTTTGTTTTACATATCGCTAGGTAAAACTTAGTCATATGGTCATAGCTAGCTAGAAAGACAGATTAAGAACATAGACTGTAGCTGAGCAACAACATGTGTAACTAAAACTCAGAAAGAGAAAGATAACTCTTGCGAGGCAACAAGCAACCTCCATTACATTTTTTAGGCCACATCAGACATAAAATTAAATCAATTTACTGTGAACAAAATTGTGTTCGTCTAATGCTGTGACCAGCCGATTGAAGGAATTTCAGCCCTTTGAAGTGATTCCTTAACCAATGCTAAGAGTACCCAGATCATGTCTCACATGCAATCTGGATTATTACTGTCTATTAATAAAACCCATCATGTCTCAAAATGGAGATAATAGCAGGAAAAAAAATTGATTCATTTTATACAAACTCTTCCAGAGATTATATGATCTTTTTTTGTTTTGTTTGGTTTTGTTTTTGTTTTGAGACAGAGTCTCGCTTTGTTACCCAGGCTAGAGTGAGTGCCGTGGCGTCAGCCTAGCTCACAGCAACCTCAAACTCCTGGGCTCAAGCAATCCTCCTGCCTCAGCCTCCCGAGTAGCTGGGACTACAGGCATGCCCCACCATGCCCGGGTAATTTTTTCTATATATATTAGTTGGCCAATTAATTTGTTTCTATTTATAGTAGAGACAGGGTCTCGCTCTTGCTCAGGCTGGTTTTGAACTCCTGACCTTGAGCAATCCGCCTGCCTCGGCCTCCCAGAGTGCTAGGATTACAGGCGTGAGCCACCGCACCTGGCCTATATGATCTTTATATGAGGCTAGCATAGCTTTTACTTCAAAAACTGATAAAACTATCACCAACAAAGAAAATTATACATCAGTCTCTCTTAAACATAAATGTAAAATTCTCAACAATATATTAGCAAATCAAATCCAGCAATATATGGAAAGGATAATACATAATAATCAAATGGATTTATTCCAAATATGCAAAGGGAGATCAACATTAAAAAATTATCCAATGTAATTTACTATGTTAACAGAAAGAGAGATATGATTATCTCTGTATATTCTGAAAAAAATTGATAAAATTCAATATTCATTCATGATTTTTTAAAAAGTGCAACTTTGCACTTTGGCTGATAATGTCAATGCAGATTAGTTGACTGTAACAATGTCCCACTCTGGCAGGGGATGTCGACAGTGGGGACGGTCGTGCCTGTGTGGGGGTGGGGAGTATATGGGAACTCTTTACTGTCCCCACAATTTTGCTATGAACCTAAAACTGCTCTAAAAAGTAGATGTTAACTATCGCCTTGACTAGAATAGTAGTTGCTATGCGCTAGGCACTCTCTCTAAGGCACTGGAGATAAAAGGTTAAATTATTAATAAGTTAACTGGCCTCCCTGCTTCTACATCCAATCTATTCTCAACATAGCAGCTTGAGTTCTCTTTTTTAAAACTGAAATCAGATCGTGTCGCACTACTGTTTAAAAACATCTCAAAGGCTTCCCGTCACACCCTGGAATCAGCATCAGTGTACATCTCCATACCATGAGCAGCAAAGCCCACATGACCTGGGCTCCACTTCTCTCTCAGCCTCACAGACAGTTCTCCCCGTGCTCGCTGTGCTCTAGCCACGTGGGCTTCCTTTCCGTGTCTGGAAAGCGCGCTTATTCCAAGAAGACCATCTCGTTCCCTTTGCCTGCAACACTTCTCTCGAGCTCTTCCCAGGGCTTCTGCTGCTCTTGCTGTAAGTCTCAGCTGAAACCTGGCTTCCTCCTGGAGGCCTTCTCTGCCCTGTCTGTCTGCAGTGGTGGGTGCCCAGTAACCTCCTAGGCACAGAACTTTTACTTTATTTATTAAACTGATCCCAATGTGTAATTACCCTGCATTGTCTAATTCGTTTGTCGGTGTATGGTTTGTGTCCCTGCCCTGAGCTCCAGCAGGGCGGAAATCTTGTCTGTCTTACTAACTGCAGCTCCTAAAATAGGGTCTGGGGCCCATGGCAGGTGCTCTTTGAACACTTGTTGAGGGAATGAATGAAGGGACAGTCCCAGCCTTGAAGACGTTTCCAGTGTGATGCAGGGACAGCCCGTTATAATTAACTATACCACACTGGCGCTGTTCTCTGGGACTACATGCTTTGACTCACAGATGAGTGAGTCACTAATTCTGTGTTTGTGATGGTGGGGAGGCGGGTGGAAAGCGCCAGCTTGGGAGAGTGGGGATGGGGCGACATAGAGGCAAGTTGCTCAGAAAAGGTGACATTTGAGCTACATCTCAAAGGAAAAATGGGAGCCTCTGGGCAGAGAAGGAGGAAATGGCT